ACCAACGCGGAGTGCTACCAACAGCAGCGGGATTTGGAGCGAAAGCAGCGGAACCAGCAGCGGCGGCAGCAATCATCGCAACAGCAACAGCCGCCGCAGCAACAACAGCAACAGCCGCCGCAGCAACAACAACAACAGCCGCAGCAGCCTCAACAGCAGCATCCGCAGCAGCCTCAGCAACAGCAGTACNTCCAGACTGAAACAAGCTTGCGCTGTGATTGTTTGCCTGCGGTCCTCTTCCGAGGACCAGTTTCCCGCCGCTTCGGGAAAATTCACTTGGAATGAAACCACGGCCGTGTAGTACTTGGAGTATTTTTTTTCATGACGTCTCGTATACTTTTTCAACCGAAGTGTTGCCGGTAGCTGACAACAAGCCTAATCCACATCATCGGTATTCCTCCAAGATTTACAACGAAGGGTGGGTAAGGAAGGAGGACGTTGCCATTGATAGCTGTATTGCAAGTTTTGTCAAGGGTAACGATAGCACGGTAGGAAACCTGCTATTGCACTGACTGTGTTGCTCGTTCCGCTCCAAGGATAAGGATAAACGTCGTGTGCGTTTGGATGCCATCGACAGCAAGTTCAATATTGTTGCCCCAAACTTCTCCAAAGCGGGAGGCATACAATAGAATATCAGATATCAGCTGGTGCTTCCCCCGCGACCGGGCATTATTCTGGGAATAGCGTATAGCGTCCAGTATTGCCATTGCTACATGTTGGTTTCAATCCAGCAGGGCAAAAAGAGACACAAACCCATCAACCACTCTGTGAACACCTGGCGTTGTTGTGACTGCCACGAAAGTAGTGTTTTTGGTGAAGGTGGATGACGAAGGTTAAGGTTCCTAGGTTTTGTGATTTCTGATATACATACGTCGGCCAGCTGACAAGACACGTTTAAGTTTAGCTTGGCATCGCGAGTACGCATGTGGTCTCACAACAGAGAGTGGAGTGCTTCGACACATATCTATACAGATAGCGCCCGTACTTCAGAACTTAGCAGTAAGGAAATTGAAACTCGAAAAAAGGCAGAGGCAAAGAACTTGAGCACCATTTGTGAGCCCGGTTAAGAACCCCTACGCTAAAACCTGTAATGGTCTATAGTGGCAATTTGTTGCCCACAAGAGGATGATCAGCAAAATAAGGACCCCAGCCTCGGCCGAAACTAGAGGTTCTTAAGTGCGGGCGCTGTCTGTACTGAAGTTTTGCGGGAGCCCACGATTGCACTGCAGTACAGATTCTGCATGCATCACTTGGGCCGTTTCACGTGATGCCAAGAGGTCGATTCAACCCGCCGCGTTCTTTTGCTCATTCCCGTTGTTGGCGAATTTTGGGAGGTCTCGCTGGTGCATGGGTCCGCGCCAGCTGAAAAAAACAGCAAGGATATTGCCTGGGGACACGATGGGATAGGACTTTACGCCAACGGTAGGATGGGACGGGATGGAATGGTCATACCATGCGTGAAAATCGCTCCCGTCCGACTGTCCGTCCCATCCCGCCGCTAGGTTGTGATACCGGCTCCTTCCATCCGGGCCACATTTCAATCGATTCCATCCCACGGATGTCCTGCTCTAATTATCTGTGAAGGAGGAGATGTACCTCTCTCTCGCCCGTGATGTTGACTTCCAGTTTCACTTCTACCCCACATAGCGTGTAGAGGGGAGCGGAGGGCTCCAGACTAGCTGTCGTTGATTTCAATTGGTTTACGGAACCTTCGGGTCGTGTGAATTGAGTGCCTTTGTTCCGTTTTGAGGATAATTCAGCCTGTGATCATGGGGATCGACCGGTCGAGGGTTCGATCAGGACGGACAGATGAAGGCAGTGGGTAAAGAGATCGGCACGGTTTTTAATGCGAAGACAACAACAATCTGAGGCATTTCCCATCGCAATCTCTGACCACCACCCCCGGCCCACGTCGTGTTGACCGTTTGTCGTCTAACCGACGTCCCCCCCCCACTTCATCACTTTGGCACAATTCTTTCGTTCGTAATCAGCACCCCTTGCCCCTTTTCGCAACCCAGTACCACCTTAAAATATACCAGCACAAGGCAGAGCGGGGAGGGGGGGCTCTCCCTCTGTTCTGTCTCGCGCTACGTAACGTCCTGTATTTGTTAAGAATTTTTCTCGTTTTTTTTTCTAGATGGAACGCTGGCCTTGTAGGTTACTGATATGGCAGCTGTTGTGTATGGACACGCCAAATACGCTGAGTGCCGAACCGTCAGGACTTAGGCCGAAAAGCTTCAGCGAGCGGGCAACAGTTACATTTCTTTGAGCATGCGTTCTCGGGGTTGAGGCCTCTCTACCTAGCACCTGGTTTTCAGGAAAAACCACCCCCGTGAGAACCCTGTGAACACTGCTGTCCACTGTAAACGCATCACGTGCATACTTGTCCACGTGTCGCTCGTATCACGTAACGTCGTGTTATTCTAACGTATTTCGACCGTTTGTACGTTAATCGGAGCTCCAACCAAGCCAAGACCCAGTCTCGAGACGTCAGCTCGAGAAACAGAGAGAGAGAAGACAAAGGAATGCAGCTCAGGCCTCCGTGAGTCGTCACGCTCGCGAACTGAGAGCGAACACAGAAGGTGAGAGTGTTAGCGTTCTCAACGCTATGGCATTATTGTTTGCCTTCCACTACAATACTGTACCATGTACACATACGAGTAGTCGGTAAGGTCTTGAGGACCTGTTTTGACGTCAAAAGTTGCACCTAAATATGTTGAACCCTCCACTAGGAGAACCCAAATAGGGTTTAAGGTAAAAAAGAGCTTGCGAAACTTAACGATATATTGCACAACCGATATGCCGAATCGAAGTTCAGTTACACCCAAATGCTGCGCAATCGCTGCCGTAAGGTGACGTAGGTAGGTACGGAACAGCTTTCCAAGCGAGTGGTCGTCATGGGGCTTAAATGTGACTTGGGTTATGGGTGACAAGGACAACAAACGATGTATTTTCCTTTCGAGGTACCGGTACAGTAAGTACGGTATCACCTTGTCTCCCGCTCTCGTTTCGGTCTTTCTCTGTGAATACCGGTACACGTATGCAGCACTAGTATTGATTTCGTTTTGTTCGGTGGGGTAGGTTGCGGCTTGTATGGTGCGTGCTTGGGTGTACGGTTGGCACAACTTCCATACCAACTAGATCGAAACGACTGACATCCTACGTGAATCGCGACCGTACATAAAAACACGGTGTGTTGTTCCGCTAACCCCGCCCCCACATGTAAAAGGTACGCACATGTACCTCTTTCCGGTACTCAAGGGAGCTCAATCTTGGATTTGGGGGTGGGCGAGATCGCACCCCGGTACCATCTCTCCAAATAATCCGGTACAATATTGTTCAACACTCACTTCTTGTTTTTCATGTGGCAGTAGATATCCTGACCTACACTCGAGAAAGCTTAACATGAGCAACCAGTCGGGTCCATAAGAGTACATCCGGTATGTCGCAAATCTAAATATCAGTGACCCGGAGAGGTGCCGTGGGACCATTCGGTCGTGGGTCGTTCGTGAGTAGTGGTGATACAGGGATCGATGCAAGCGGGAGTGAAAATGTGAAACTGGTATGTCCGTCTGTCTTCCATCGTTTTCCCGCCCCAAGACATGCCGATCCAATTTCACACCGCCAACCGAAAGCTTATCCCGCCCCTTTCCCACCTCACGGTGAACAGATGATACCGCGGGATTCCCCAAAAACATCCAGGTGGCGATGAAGGCGCCGGACGTGCTTTCCCGAAAGTAAAATTCGGGACGCCTGGCTGCTGGTGCTGGTGCTGGTACTGCTCCTGTCTTTATTTATGCAGCAGGGCGTCCACGAAGCGTGGGAGAGAGTCTGCGACAGCCATGTTCTGGACGAGGTCCCGTCTGCGGCGCGCTTGACGATCACATAAAATACAAGACCACGCGTAGCCTTGGCAGAAGAGAAGCAATGTACACAGGCCCGTTGCAAAGAATTTCTTCGAAGTCTCAGGAAATCGGCAAATCTCGAGGCGCCACTCGTCTCTCCAATGCTGACTCAACTCTCACGCCTGGTACCCTGTAGTAGAGCCTTAGTCTCTTCTCACCAAGCGGCAAGCGGCGCTACCAGCACTTCGCTGAGGTTAGCCGTTAGTTTCTCTGCAAGACCCTAAAGGTTACCCAAGGTACGCCCGTGTCGTTTCGTACTCTTGTAGTTCCTGCACAGTATGCGTCTCCAAGGCCTGCTGACAGCATTGCTACACAGTCTTAAAAAGCATAGGCGTTTGCACGTATGTGCTGTGTTGTATTCGTCCTACTTATTATGGCGACTGTCCCGCCATTTTTCGTGGTGAGACGTGTACTACACTCTTTCAGCGTATTTAGAGTACTATACTTGTCAAGTGTATTTCTTCGTACAACTACAACCATCCAGGACCGCACAGGAGGGGGGACACCAGGACTTCTTTCATGCCCCATCTTCCTCCTGCGATGCGTGCTGAATTTTATTTTTAATCGCGAGAAGGGTCCAACCGTCCCTTTCCCTCGTCAACGGTGCTAATGTCGGAGTTTGGTACTCACGAAAGCATTTCAGCTATATTTCGCTTTCACCAGCAAAGTTTGCAAATTTTCCATTCCATGGGGATTAGATCTCACGACCTCAATGAATAGCGGTCTACGTGGACACCACACTAGACCACCGGGGCGACCGGTCTATCTCTAACCGCAATTGGACAAGATATATCACACCCCCTGCATCGATTTTCACTGCTCCATTTCCCCCGACGACCAAGACGATGTAAAACTCGAACGAGACGTTTCCGGAAAGATCTCGAGGAGACGGTTGCGACACGGCTATTTTCGGCACTGCCACTCTCTGCTTTGGCGAAATCGAGAAATCAGACATCGGGTTTAACCGGGGTGTGGTATCTCATGTCACTACGGTGTAATAGAGCTTCTATTTTCTCACGTCAGTTGGGTGGTGTTGAGAAAACACCAGGTTGGTTGTGTTTCGTGACGCTCGTTGGAACAACAAGTACACGATGTTCAAGACGAAGGTATCTCCATATGGGACAACTTTACTCTCTTAGCGATCTTCTTGGGGAGGAGCACCGCATGGATGTTGGGCAACACACCGCCGGATGCGATTGTCACCTCTCCGAGAAGCTTGTTCAGCTCCTCGTCGTTGCGAACGGCTAGCTGGATGTGGCGGGGGATGATGCGTGCCTTCTTGTTGTCACGGGCAGCGTTGCCGGCCAGCTCAAGCACCTCGGCGGTCAGGTACTCCAGCACGGCGGCCAGGTACACCGGAGCTCCAGCTCCCACGCGGGACGCGTATTTGCCCCGCTTGAGGAACCGGCCAACACGCCCCACAGGGAACTGCAGCCCAGCCTTGGCCGACCTGGTGGTCGACTTCTTTCCGCGGCCTCCCTTTCCCTTTCCGGACATGGTTGTTGTTGAGTGAGTTGCTGGTGCAGTGCAGAAGAGGTGTTTGGAATTGTGGTGAAGGGGGGGGGAGAGTCTGGTGTGGGAATCTTGGGCAACGACACAGCAGCAGTGCGTGTACGGACGAACTCCAAAATTCAAAAAATGCGATCTTGCCGCGCCGTTCTGCTCTGTGATTGGCAGAGATCTAGGTCTAGCTCTGTGATTGGCGGGTGATGACAGCGGTGGTCGAAAAGCAACAACGCCACGTAACGCCTCCGTCATCGCTACAGAGCTGAGAACTGACAACACTCGCTGGTTCCCTCGCCCCTCGTTGCCACAACTCTCCCCTGCTCTGCTGTCACCTGTAACCTCACAGCACCCCTCAGCAAAGATGGCCAAGACCCCCTCCAAGAAGTCCGCCAAGGCGCCCAAGAAGGCCGGCGAAAAGAACAGGACCAACAAGAGGACCGAGTCGTACTCGTCGTACATCTATAAGGTGCTCAAGCAGGTCCACCCCGACACCGGTATCTCAAAGCGCGGCATGTCCATCATGAACTCGTTCATCAACGACGTGTTCGAGCGCGTGGCCGGCGAGTCCGGCAAGCTCACCCGCTACAACAAGAAGGCGACCCTGTCCTCCCGCGAGGTGCAGACCGCCGTGCGCCTCATGCTTCCCGGAGAGCTCGCCAAGCACGCCGTGTCCGAGGGCACCAAGGCCGTCACCAAGTTCACCTCGTCCTAATCAGCAAGGAAGATGCGCTCTGCCCTTCAGCGGCCGCACCTGTGGGTTAGTAGTCATGGTGAGGCACTGCATGTGCCCTGCTTTTTGGCTGCCCCAACCAGCAAACCAACCTGGTGTTTACTCAACACCACCCACAACACGGAAGAAAAAAGTCAGTAGAGTAGCTCTGGTCTTGATCTTTGTCAAAGCCACCGGCCGTTGGCATTGTTCCGGCAACCACCACGAGTACATGGTCTATTCCACAACGCCATATCACCGGCTTTGTGCTGGCTTGGTACACAGGTAGACTATGAACTACACATCCCCTTCGTATTCACCTTGCCGAGGCTCTTGGGGATGTTGCATGGAGTACATTCATTTTTTACAGTATACCAACCTTCACACTGCACTCGGCTGGTTCCCGAAACTCGGTTGAGTAGGGTGAAATTCTGTACTATTTATTATAGGTACAACGTGTGTTTTGGCACAGCAGTTTTTTGTCATCGGGCAGGCACGTCCCACACACAGGTACCAAACACAGCAGTAGTCGTAGTAATCATGGCACTTTTGCGAATAGATTCAGCCCGTCCATCAACGGGAAGAACGTGGTGTGTACGGCGAAGAAGGCTGATAGGACAACTTGCAAGCACCTTTATGAAGTGGGAAGGAGCAGCAACCGGCAAGAGAGGGAAAGGCTCGGGAACTTCTGGCATTGCACCTTGAGACAGCTCACAAGGTCGAGGCGGACAAATACGAGGCTGAAATCGGCGCAGACGAGGACAAGAAAGCGCCCATTCTAGCGCCAATCGGTGAGTTTGTTTTTTTTTGCCCCAAGACTACGGGGAAAACCACCCCCCTTAGAAAAACTTAAGAGATCGGGAGGTGGAATAGTTTTTTGTTGAAAAACGTACCTGCAGTAGGCTCGTGCGTTGCTACCATTGGCCCGTTAACTACACGGGAGTATTACAATATATTGATTGAGGTGTGGGGGGCGCCAATCAATGTGACTCCGGGGGGG